GCTTTTGAAGGTCTTCGTGCTCCCCCGTGGCTGTCTTCCCCTCGCCGTCTACTTTGCACGGATAGTGGGGTGTAAACACCCCCTTTCCTCCTCCTGACATTTTTGGCACAACCAGTGGAAAGCGAGCCGCAGCCCCAGCCCTCTGCAGGCCCGCAGAGCCCCGTCCCCCAGGGGTGCATGTGGGCAGGTGCCCCAAGCTGGGACGGCGCGAGAGGCGCCGGGCTCCTCCCGCTCCTTGGGGAGCACACTGGGCTCTTCATGCGACGCTGTCTGGCCCACACCCCTGGCCTGGCCACCCTGTCCTCGCCTGCTGCTCTCTTGGCCGTTGGTGCTGGCCGGCACCGGGGGCTGGCCCTTGGGGAGAGCTGTGTTTGCCATGTGGGGTGAAGCCCGCGAGGGGGCCCCAGGTGCCCTGTTCCTGCTTCATCGTGACGGAACTGCAGTGGTTCTGTCCAGCACCACGGCCTTGGCACCGTCTGGGGCGCCCCCACACGCTGGCATCTGGGCCCGGGGCAGGGGTGCTCACCCAGCTCTTCTTCTTCTGACAGCCTGACTCTGACTCCACCAAACACTCGACCCCGTCTAACAGCTCCAACCCCAGCGGCCCGCCCAGCCCCAACTCCCCGCACCGGAGCCAGCCGCCCCCGGAAGGCCTGGAGCCGCCGGCCTCTGACGCCTGAGGCCGCCGCCGGGCCGGGAGCACGGCCACCGCAGTGCCGGGACCGAGCTCTGCAGCGTGGTCCGGGGAATCGGAGGGTCCGTCGTAGAGCCGGAGACAGACACAGCTTTTATTATATAGTGGTGGGTTTGGGCCGCATCCGTGGTTTGCACAGGGAGGCCTGGCCGGGCTGCGCTCAGGGAGTGGACAGCTGGGCGCCAGCCTCGCACCCAGAGGGCAGTGGGGCGTCGAGGGTCATCCCCAGGGTCGCCACAGTTTTGTAGACAGGGAAACGAGGTCACTGTAGCCTCCTGTCCACACAGCCACCCTCGTAGCTGCAGGTGGCCTGCCAGACGCGGCCGGTGTGCACGCTGCCATGACCTCAGCGGTGCCACACTGGCTTCCACATCCTCCCTCCCAGCGTCCAGTGCAGCTGGAACAGGCCTGCTGGGCTGGCGGGGCCAGAACCCCAGGTGCCACACCCCGCCTCCCCTGCATGGGGCCTCACTGGGCCCTGACACCCTACACTCGGCCCGTCTCGCTGAAAGCTTGTGGGTGACAGGCTGGCGGACAGAGCGTGTCCTTGGCCAGGGCAGCCGCCCTGGGCGCACTGCTGAGGATGGGCACTGGGCCGCCCCGGGCCTGCCGGGGCCTTGGGGTTCACGTTTTACTGTAAGTCTGAGTCTGTAATTATTGAGTTGTGCGGACATGTGGACGACCTCCCTGTCAGTGAAGCAGATAAAGCAGAAGACGGTAGCATGAGGCTCTCGTGGCTTGAGTGACTGTGGCGCCCGTCCTGGGGACCCCGTGGCCGAGCAGAAAGTCCTGTGTCCGTGAGGTAGAGACCCACTGCCCAGGCCACCTAGCACTGCGGGGGTTGATGTGGTCAGAGGCGTGTCTGGGGGCAGCTGGGCACAGCACCCTGAGCGCCTGGCCTGGGTGAGAGGACCGAGGCGGCCCGTCAGATGCCCACGTCCTCCATCCCGTGACACCCTGAGGGCCACTGCAGTGCGCTGAAGCCTGGGTGTGCCCATGGCCTCTTTGAGCAGCCGCCAGGGTCAGTGCAGTGCAGCCTCGGTCCTCAGAAGACCAGTCTCGGTGCATGCTGGCCACAGCTGACTGTCCACTGATGGGGCGCCAGTGGCCATGGCGAGGCAGGGCTCCACGTGGAGGGGGCACCACCCCATCCCAGACCTCTGCCAAGCATGGCTACACCCATGGAACCTAAAACAAGCCCCGTGGGAGCCCCTCAGCGCCAGCACTGACCCTGGCTCCCAACAGGTGCCCCAGACTAGACTTCAAGTGCAGAAAAGGCCACACGTCGCCCTTCCAGGCTTCGTCAGCCTGGCTGACGCCTCACCACAGCGCGCTCCAGGCCCCGTGCAGTCTGACAGGCGCTGTGTGCATTGGCGCATGGGGTTCCCTGGGGCTCCGTGGTGATGCAGCAGCGGGCGTGGAGCAGGACGGGCTCCTGCCAGCCCCGTGTGCTGTGCCCTGCCACCCGCTGGCTGGGTCAGGTGGGGCAGCTGCGTGAAGCGGAGGAACCGGCGACGCCGCTGGCCTCGGACCTGCAGTGACGCAGCTGAGCCGCCAGGGAGCTCCATCGGGCGCGTGAACTCACGCGGCCAGACGTACCCCAGATGTGGTCCTGTGCGGCCAGCGTGTGAAGGGCGCCTGGAGGCGAAGGTGGGTTAATCAGGCCATGAAGCGCGCCTCTGGCTCTGGTGCCCCTGGCCCCACGCACCGGCTTGGCCCACACCCAGAGGGCCGGCACCCAGCAGCCTGCCGTCCGGAACACGGACAGCCTGGGGGTGGGAGGCGGGGACACTGCCCTGAGCGCCTAGTGAAGGCATAGAGTGAGGAGGGGACCACACGGGGGGCACACCCCAGGGGGGCCCTCAACGAGTGACCCCCACCACTGAGCAGGCAGGATCTTGGCATGGCCCCTCACGGCGGGAAGCCAGACCGCCATCGGGCACCTGTACCCCAGGTTCACAAAAGCCCTGAACCAGCAGGGCTTATAGCCAGGAAGGCTGGAGCAGCACCCTGGGCCCTTCCTGCTAGAGAGGCCTGTGGCACCCCACGGTGCCCTGTCCATCCCCTTGGAGCATGCAGTGGCTGGCTCTGGGGGGCGCATCCACACCCCAAGGCTGCAGGCCGCGCTTCCAGACTGCACCCCAGGAACCGTGCTGTTGACACAGCCACTACCTGGCCACTGCCCAGGCTTGCACCTTCCTCTCGGGCACAGAGACAGGTGGGGGGCAGATGTGGTCAGACCTGCGTGGGAGCAGACCCGGGGCGGCGCCTTGGCCGCCGGGCACCATCGGGTGGGCTGGTTGCCCCGGGGTCTCTGCCGCGAACGCACACGCGGGGCAGGGGCCGCAGCCAGAGACAGACTCGGGACAGGCAGCAAATGGGGCACAGCGAAGCCCCCACGTGGCCACAGGTGACAGCCGGGCCAGAGCCCCAGGTAGGGGCAGGGCCTGAGCCAGGGGGCCTGAGCGAGGAGCGTGATGGGGCATTGGGGGGTTGCGGCGCCCCACCAAGGAGTTTGTGCTCCACCAGCAGCTGCTGTGTCGCGGGGGCCTCTGGCCAGAGCATCAGGGGTGTCGGAGACTTGGGGTGCAGAGGGGCCCGTCCCAACCATGGCCCCTTCCCAGGGCCACCGCCAGAGGGAACGCCCACGTGGCCATCGTACATGGGCAGCACCTGTCGGCTGAGAAACACCTGCCCCTCATCCCCACATGACTGCAGTCGGGCTCAAGCCTCTCGTTGCTTTTCTCCGGCCCCCCCAGAACACCAGGGCAGGGGGCCGGCTGCCTGAGGCGGAGCTCTGCCCCTGCGAGTTGAGGCGGGGTCAGATCCCCGCCACGAAAGCCCCGCAGCTCCCTAGGGGCCCCCGCTGCGGCCCCAGCACCCGCACTCCTGTGAGCCAGGTGCGCACTGCCATCTGCAGAGCCAGACGTCGGGAGGAGGAAAGAACTTATACCGGAAGCCATGAACATCCGCAGTGAAGAGGGAGAAACAGGCCACAAATGGAATAAGGCACCTTGGAAAAGATCTGAATCTGGGCCCTCCCTGGTGGCGCAGCGGGCTAAAGCGCAGCACCATGAAGCTGTCCGCAGCCGCCTCAGCGCGAGTTCGATCCCCAGCCAAGGGGTGACCACAGGGCACAGCAGACCTCGCCTGTCCCCCGCAGCAGTGGGTTTTAGTAGATCTGCCTGTTCTCCCCAGTCTGGGGAGCGCTCACCACCTGCACCCCCAGCTCTGTATGCATAAATAAGGACAGGAGGCCGCCGCTGGGCTGACAGCAGGGCCAGCGTGGGGCCGCAGGGGCGCCAAGCACGTGGCCGTCCAGACTCCTGACAGGCCACACGAGAGAAGAGGAGACAGAAGGAAAACTGCTCTGGGCCCTAGGGAGAGAAGCGAGGGAGGGGGTGAGAGAAGGGCAGAACTGACTGTCACAGGGCTGGCAGCCAGGCGCTCCCACGCCTTTTGAAAAGGAAAACACATCCTCTGACTGCAGGGGCCCAGCGAGCTCTCCACAGCGAGTCCCGACACCCAAGACGTGGCTGCCGGCAGCATCGGCCCGGAGAGGCCGTGGGGCTCCCTGCCCCACACCTGCTGGGACCCGGCAGAGCAGCCTCTGGGAGCCGCCCGGATGCTGGCGGCCTGGCGCCGGAGGAGTCGCGCACGCGGCAGACTCCAGAGTCACGGGTGGCGGCCAGCGGGCCTCGAGCTGCTGACCCAAGAGCACGCCTGTCCCACGTCCCCCGGAGCCTGGGTGGGCCAGCACCCACAGGCCAGTGCATCAGACAGGAAGGCAGGTCGTCGGGACGGGTGGGGACAGGTGACAAGTCGCCCCTTGGGTGTCTCCCCGGACAGTGTCCCCCAGATCTCCAGGGCTGAAACCCGGTGCGCTGGGACCTGTGGACACGGGTGATCGGGAGCCGCTCTGGGACCAGCCTAGGGCCCTGGCCTGAAGGCTGCCGCCATGGCCCAAGCGGCAGTCGGGACACACCGAGGCAGGACGAATCACTCGGTCGCGCGCGCCGGGTCCCTCGAGAAGCCGCGTTGTCACTGAGCGACAGTCGCTCGTCCTACGCACCAAGCGGCGAGCACTCGGTGACCAGTAACAAGTGGGCCCAGTAACTGGCGCCAGCTGCCAGCAGAGGCCCTCGGCAGGCCCCAGGAGGCCCTGAGGACACCGCGCCGTGGGCGCCGGCTGCACGCTCGCCAGGGCGGGGGCAGCAGGGGGTGTCCACAGCCGCCAACCAGGAAGCGTCTTTATTGGACCCCAGGCGGTGGGGAGCAGGGGCACAGGACACGGGAGGGGCAGGCTGGTCACACTGCTCAGGCCTCGGCCTCGGCACCCTCAAATAGTGGGTTAACAAAGTAGCTCTGGCTGGTGCTGCTGGCATCCACCTGTGGGGCCACCTCTGGGGGCTGTGGGGTACAGAGTCCAGGGGTGTCAGGAACCTGCCCCTGCGGGAAAAGCCCACGCACGCCGACTCCTGCTGCCCACTCACCGCTTGTACAGACGTGGTCATGTCGAATATCGGGTTATGGAAGCCCAGGGGAGGGGCGCGGGGGTCCTCATCGCGCCTTCTCCGCCTGGGGGCAGCACGAGAGCGGAGGTGTGGGCACTCGGCCTGTCCCCAGAGTGCCTGCTGGCCAAGGCCCTCTGCTTGGGCCGCGTGACCCCCTCCCTTTCCTGGCCCTGAGCCCTGTGCCCCGCCTTCCACCACGGCTGAGACCTCGCTTGGTGCCCCCAGCACACAGCGTCCCTGAGCCCCTGCGCCTCAGTCCGTGGCTCCGCTTCCCCTCGTACCTGAGCACCCCCGTGCAGCGCAGCAGCAGCGCCCCGGCCAGCAGCGCCAGCAGCAGCGTGGCCACCAAGCCGCCCACGAGCCCGGGGCTCAGCCCCTGCCCGTCCAGTCCTGCCGCGGCGCCGTCCCCGAGGGGCGCCCCTGACTCCCGGACTGTCGCCGACAGCAGCCCTAGGGCCTGGCCTGCAACCAGGGATGGGGTCTGTTTGTCCAGCGGGGTCGTGGGGCGCACGGGTGGGGGCGAGGGAGGGCAGCGTTACCCTGGGCCGAGACGTCAGCCAGCAGTGCCCGGGCCAGGCGCCCTGCGCCACCTGCGCCAGGCCCAGTCTCCGCCAGCACCACCTGGATCTCTGTGTCGGTCTCTGGGCTGGTGGCCTCGCGGGGCCCCAGTGGGCGCGGCACCTTGGACACAGCCACCTGCAGCCCCTGGTACTGGGGCTAGGGAGTGGGCAGGTGAGCCAGGGGCTGCACCCCCTCCCACACCCCACACCCACACCCCGGCCATGGTAACTGGTCGGGCAGGGCGCGCGCCCATTACCAGGGCCAGGAAATCGTGCTGCAGCCGCGCCCGGTACCGCTCCAGGTCAAAGGTGGTGTCGTGGGTCAGCGACACGATGGCCCCTGAGGTCAGAACCAGGCTTCAGCGCCGCAACTGGGGCCCATAGGCACCCTGGGGCGGAGCTGTAGGGCGCTTACCACAAAGGTCGCAGCACTGGCCCTCCGGCCGCAGGGCATCGCGGCAGGAGGCTGGGGGGCATTGGCCACCCAGTGGCCGGAGCAGGGCTGCGCAGATCCACGGCAGGGCCTGAGGGGGAAGCGTAACGGGGCGGGACGCAGTCTCCCACCTGACCTCGCCGGACCCGCCCCTGCCGCCCGCAAGCTCACCTGGGCGTTACCGCAGACGCAGCCCGACGGGTCAGCGCAGGCCTCGGGGACCACGCTTAGCACGCCCGGGCCGTGGAAGCGCAGGCGGCCAGCGCGAGATGCCAGGAAAGCCTCCAGGTCCTCTTCGCGCTTGAAGGTCTGCAGCGGCCGAGCCGC